CTTTATGTGGCCAACCTGATCGCAGTGATAACATAACCTCATACCCTGAATTGGGACTGCGTGCCGACAACCCTTAGCGTAATGCCCCTCCTTGCCACACCTGTGGCACCCACTACCAGCTCGACACACACCAGAATGACCCTTGCCACACTTCCCACAAGTGCGGCTCTGCTGACCCCCGGTCCTAGTATCAGCGGTCTTAAACCGCTTCGGCGCCGACTGAGACTGTGCCGGGGCCTGCCGCTGCTCTCTCAACTGCAGCTCAATCTCCAACTCTCGCCGTCTAGCGGCCTCCTGTAACTCTAGAAGAGTATCACATTGCTGGGTAGGCACAAACTGACGGATATCCGTCTTGAGCATGCTCAGATAACGGGTCATCTGGGCCTGCTCGGAAGCAAACTCCGGGCAAAACATCGCCCTCTCAGTGAACATACGGGCGATCTCCGTCACCGACTCCCCATCCTGTCTCAAACTCAGAAACTCCTGTGACAACCGTTCCCGTTCGACCCGTGGAATGTATCAGGCGCGGAACATATCCCTGAACTGCTCCCAAGTAACAACAGCTCTCTGATCATCAGTGTACGACCCCTTCACAAGTCTCCACCAGTCCTTGGCCACGGACCTTAGCAGGTTCAGAGCACACATGACCTTATGGTCAGTAGGACACGAGCAGGTAAAGAAACACCCCTCCACATCTGAGATCCACCTCATAGCCTTGATGGGATCCTACGTCCCATCAAAAGTAGGGGGCTTCGTGTTATCGAAGTCCCTGTACTGGAAGCCCCTACTAGCTCCTCCCCCTGCCGCGGATATAGCTGATGCAGCTGCTGCGGCAGCTGTCTCTGCAAGGGCTGCGTAGCACTCATCAAAGTACTCAACCATGGCGGTCTTAATCGACCCGAACATCTCCGGCAGCTGTGCCCGGAACGCAGCAACAACCTCATCATGCAGGATCTCTCGAATCCTGGCATCCAACTCCTCTATACCCATCTGCACCACCAGCTCAGGTGCTGTTGGCTCCTCCTGGCCTTTGTCTCCTGATCCTGATCCCGAACCGGATCCAACCACAAAGCATCTCTTCATCACCATTCTGAAACATACCACATGATATCAGATAATCCACATAAATAACTGGGAGCCAACTCCCGACTAACCCTAGGGGTTGTGACTTCCTTGGTACGCGTATGGGTCCTATGCTTTCAGTAGTACGGTCCCATACTACCTTCCATACCTACCCATATTTGTCTCAAGTATCACCACAACGCCCTAACTGATTACACAACATGGCGAGCGCTCAATCCTCACTCCTAGAGGAATGCTAAATATCTCATAACTGGCCTCCCAGCCTCACACAACCCACCCATCCATGAAACTTCCACCAACCCTGCAGCACTAGTGTATGCTAGCCATACATAACGCTGGACCCTATAGACTTTCGAATATCTGATCCTACCCTAAGCCCTAATCAATAAGAACAGAACATAAGGTCGAGCCAAACATTCTCAGGCTATAAGATCTTAATTATGTATAACCGTGATGCATACACTAAGCAACTACAGTAATGATGTCAGTCTCATATAAGGAAAACCCTAGGCTACCAGGCATCATATAATCAGGCAATTATATCATGCAATCCCTGAAGATCCCTAACCTATCTCTAGCATGATGTTCTAACATATCACATAATCAAATAACTGTATGGTATTTTGGGGTCTACTTACTGGCTCCGGCTGATCGTACATCCTGCATCCTCATTTACTTATTTTGAAAACCATTTTAGAAATCATTTTGAAAACCTTTCCTTGATTTGAGACTGGATTCACACGCATGTTCCTCCAATTCACTCAAACCAAGGCTCTGATACCAACTTGTAACATCCGAAAAATTCAAGCCAATTTAAACTTTTTAAAAACATTTCAAAATCAACAAAACATTACAATCTGGTTTCCAAAATGTATAATATCAGAGTTTTCCCAGAAACATAAACAAAACATGAGGAGCTGTACGATCACGCCTTTGCCTTGCCACGATCCCCTGATGTACCTGAAACAATAAACTGAAACTGTAAGCCCGAAAGCTTAGTGAGTTACCCCCAAAATACCGATACACATACAGTCCACATAACCATGTCAGCAACATCATAACATAACAAACTGAACAACATATAATGGGTCCACAACTTTACAGACTGGATTACCCCTGGTCCCACACTGTGAGTCTGGATTGCCTTCCGGGCCCACAGCTCACATCTGCATTGCCATCGAGCCCACAGTACGAGTCTCCCTTAGCCCGTATCTGGAATGCTCCTAGGGTTTGTTGGTTACCGTACGGAGCAGTACAACCTCAACCCATCCCACATAGCATATAAATCATGTAACATAACTACTGAGCATGCAATAACCATATAACATCACCGATAGTCCTACATATCTACCTAACTGGCATAACCACTAGCATGCAACACTACCTCATAATCAACATAACCACTGCTAGGATAACATATCCAATGGGCCGGCCTTGGTGCCTTAGACCCCTTAGTATAGTGAGGATAACTCACCTCACAATGTCGCACTGAAAATGATAGGCTCAAACTCTCGAATCACCAACACGAACTCCACCACCTATAGTTACCATAAAACCCTTTTTCCATAAATTTCCAAATTACCAAAATGCCCCCAAAAGGTCAACTGGTCAACCCTTGGTAAAAGTCAAAGTCCACAGTCAAGGTCAACAGTCCATTTTGACTCGACTCGTCGAGTGCAATTCACCGACTCGTCAAGTCCTTATATCTCGCCGAGTTAATGCGTGTCTAAAGGTTGGGAAAACCCTCGCCGACTCGCCGATTCACTCGACTGACTCGCCGAGCCCACGACAACCTTCATCGGACTCGCCGAGTCGTACATACAACTCGCCGAGTCTACGACAATCTTCATTGGACTCGTCGAGTCGTTCATACAACTCGCTGAGTCTCTTCAGTCCTTTATTCATATAGACGATCTTAAGCCATGCTAAGGCTCCAAATTGTAGATCCAGTTTCCCAAGGCATGTTTATCACGTAAAGTTGCAAACTTTACGTGCATGCATGGATCTAAAGGCTCTTAATGACAAATCCAAGCTTACAATGGAGTTTTTACACTCAAGGAAGGCTTCAAACATGACCAAGCTCGAAACTTTATGAACCTAGAACCCAAGAAGGGTCCAGATCTGAAGTTGCAACTTCAGATCTAGCTCATACACCACAATATCATCATAACCAAGCCAAAACAACCCTAAACCTCACTCAAATGAGATCTAGAAAGAAATGAGGTAAAGGTGACGACTTGATACCTTCAAATGATGCTATCTGAGGTAGATTTCTGATCCCCCACACTTTCCTTGCTTCTAGCCTCTTGTCCTCCAAGTTCTTCTTTCAAAGATCCACTTTCCAAAGCTTAAAACACACAAGAATGAAGCACCACACGGATTAGGGTTTTCTGGACTCTCAAGGGACCGTAAAGAGGCTGAAGGAGGCTTATGATTCCTTAAATAGGGTGCAAAACCCCGGGATTTAGGGTTTCATCTGCCAGCTCCTACTCGTCGAGTCCCTTCTTGGACTCGGCGAGTAGGTCACTAAACTACATGGACCAACCCGCTGCTACTCGACAAGTAGGGCGACCAACTCGTCGAGTAGATCTTGGAATCACCGAAATTCTTATTTAAATCAATAACTGAGAATCGGGGCGTTACAGTTTAAAACACCAAAACTAACATAAAAGTTGGTGCTTTATAGACATGCATGTCCAATGCATGTCTTGAAGCCATAGTGAGTCAAAATAAGGGTTTTTGATAAAAATCTCATGCGTGGCTCAAAAACCCAGCTATACTTCAGATCCAAATCAACAATCATACCAAATGTTCTAGAGATTCATAAAGTTGCAAACTTTATGAGATCTCACCACTCCAACTAACAAGAACATGAAGATTAAGGGACAAAACTCAAGATCTAGCAACCTAACATGATAAAAATTGAGTTTTGGACACTTACTAAGGTCCAGAAGAATGCTATGACGAAGAATAAAGACTTGCTTGCTGAATCTTAGCTCACTTTTTCTTCCTTCTACCTTCAAGAACTTCCAAGAACACTAAAAAGGGCTTCAACAATGGATGAAGGGGATTATGGTTTCTTCAGATATTTAGGAGGCTGAGGGTGAGCAAACCCTAGCATCCTCATTCTTTTAAATATGGAGCAAACCCAGAAAAAATAGGATTTTCCATCAGCCAGCTGTCACGCCGTGGCCATATACTGCTACGCCGTGGCGCCTTAATTGAAACATGTGTTCCAATTTTCATCGCCACGTCGTGGCAACCCTAAAATGCCAAAAATAAAAAACATAAAGTACCTCAAGATCCGGACGTTACAGAACTTCCCGTCGAATGTTTCACGAATAGTTCGCCGAACGTTATGTTCGTTTATAACCCTAATAATGGATGTTATATAAACGACATAGTATTGATTTGCGTAAATTGTTAACCCTAAGGCGTATAGTTGTAGTTTTGAGGTTGTAATTTAGGGTTTGGACGAACTAGACAATGATATAACTAGTTACATTTTTTTTCTTATCATAGTACTGAACTTTAATATTCTATAACATTCAAATACAATATCTCTTCACTATTATAACTGAATATTTTTTTCACAATTAACAAAAAAAAAAAAAACTAACATATTATAGTTTGGGACGTTAATAAGATAGAAAAAATAGTATTATAAAATATAATTTAAAAATCAGTATTGTAAGTTATATTAAATTACAAATTATAAATTATATTATATTATTCTTATTGTACTTATCACATTAGTTTTAATTAATTTTAGTAAAATAAACACAAAACTGTTGGCTAATATTGGTACCCGAGTAAAATCGCAAATACTCGCAAACGAAACGAAAGCGTTGTTTTGCATTTGTGGGAAAAGACGTCCACGTGCACACACGTTTACACGTACACACACACACTTTTACATGCTCGCTTTAAACCTGTTCACACCCCGCTCACAACGTCTTCTTCAATTTGCCCCTTTTTCCCTTTCCCTAATTCCGTTTCTTCAACATCATCTGGAGTCCGAAGAAATTAATGGCAGACTGGGGACCAATACTTGTGGGTGTAGTACTCTTCATATTGTTGCAACCCGGACTCCTTTTTCAGTTACCCGGAAACGCCAAGCAGCTGGAGTTCGGGAGCATGAGGACCAACGGCAAGGCTATCGCCGTTCACACTCTCATCTTCTTCGCCATCTACACCATTCTTGTCCTCGTCCTCCATATCCATATCTACACTGGCTGATCTCAGATCTATCTGGATCCCTAGGGCCTAGTTAAAGCTACGCAACTGATCTTCATTGTCGTATCAGGTTTTGATCGATCATTAACGGATAGTGTTATGTGTTAATTAATTAGCCTATATATGTGTTTTTAACTTCCTATCAATCAAAACCTGCCTTTTGTTGACTTGTTGTGGATCTAGCTGTTCGTGTTTTTTCTTTACTTGTATGTCATGTTTGTCTCATCGATTTTGCCATTTTGGAGCTTTTAGTGTATGATGCGCATGAACCCATAACCCATCCATTGCTTTAATTACGTGTATGTCATGTTTTGCCTAGCTAACGACTTGATAGATTTTAATTTTTGTACGAATCTCCTTGTCCATAATTTATAACATTTTTTTTCAAATATTTACCTTTACAAATAAATGTTTAATACCAATTTATTGTGGTGCATTGTGATATTCCATTTTAGTTTTTATCCATCCATTTAAAAAAAAAACTTTTTATACCCATCATCATTATTCTTTTCCAGTTTCCTTCAAATTTACTCTAATAAATGAAAGTTTTTTTTTATTACTTGTCACACTCTCATTCAATTTGACAAATGTCATTTTGTTGTTATTTTAAATTAATTTTTATTCCACATGTTATTTTATGAGTTTTCCTAATTTATTAAATTTCACATAATATTTTAATATAATAATTACAATAAATGTAGTAATAAATAGATATCAATTTTATTAATGGCTTACCTTCTAATTTAACAATTTCCAAATTAAAGTTCATTAGTTTCTTTTGTTTATTTATTTAAATTATTTTTTTTAATTTAAAAGATAAAAAGTATTTCAATTTTAAAAATTCATTATTTTTCTTATTTTTTTATAAATTCAAAGTTCTGAAATATTTAGACATTCATATTTAACTTTTTTTTTTCTTTAAATTAACCCATGTAATACATGAGTCTCACAACTAGTAGGTATAAAAGTTAAAATATTTTCTTTTCCAAATAGATGAATAAAAAAGGTAGGTGGAAATATCAATACCCTAAATTGATAATCTGATTAAAAGCGTCCCATAAATCGTACATATAGTTATAATTGTTGGAAAATTTAATAAAACTTACTTATTTTTATTAAACTTTGGATACTTTTAAATATAATATAATATTGTATATATTATTAACTTTATTGGGTTATGTTCTCCTCCGTAAGAACTTCGAAACGATATATGTTGTGTTAAAAACGGATAATATGTGAATAAATATTGATGTTCAAAAATAAGTATTTTGAAATAAAGTTAGCAAATAAAAGTGATTGTGGGAATGAGCCCAACTTATGAGAAGGAGCAAATCCTTAGTGGGTTTATAAGCATAAATGTGTAATGAGTTTACAAACTTCTATGTATGGTTTTGCTCTAACACATATGTGCGTGCAAGGAGTTACAAATATTGGATTGCATAGACCAAAGTCACCGAACTTGTGTGTGGGCATGACTTGTGGACATGAAACTCCGAACGAATATTATCTTATCTTGTGTCCATATCCAAAATTCATCAGTGAAATCTTGAGTTGCATTCTTTGATCCAATACAAATTGCACCAATCCAATCCATTTATCATAAATTAGATTTATGTAATAAATATCAAACTACCATCTAATTAACATCCATCAAATTACAATATTGCATGTTTGGCACAAAGTTTTTTAGAGCATTTAACGTTTAACAAAAAAAACTATGGAAAAAAAAGCTTCTTCGACAGTAAGAGTTTCTAGTTTTATTTTAAACAAAAATTCTTAATCCAAAGCTACTTTAAGTAGCTTTTAGGAGCTTTTGGATTTGATTTTTATAAAATTTACATCTTTAAAAGCTAAAATTTATTTTTGTCGAACACTTATGCACAAAATGAACGTTAGATATTTTAGTTATTGGCTACTAGCTACCAACTACCAATTATCAACTACAAACTATCGACTACTAGATACCACCTATCAACTTCTAGCTATCAGCTAGTTTTGTCAAACACGTCTATAATATCTTAATTTCAGTTAAATAGGTTTGGTTAGTTGAAATAGATCAGTCTGAAAATATATATGATATCTAATGCATAGTTTGATTGAATCGGTTCTATCCAAAAACATTAGACGTAATAAACTAACACCCATATTATTATTTATTTTTGAATGTCAAACACACACACACACACATCCCATCAAATCATACTCTCATTTCTACACATTTTTCCACAAAGGAACTTGAACCCTCAATGAAACATCCCAAAAATACAGTCCAAAAATTTCATTTTAAATCATTAAGAAACCCATAGTTATCATCATCATATAAAAATCATAAGTCGTGTATCCTAAAAATATCATAAACAACTGTCAAATATATCAGAGTATAAACATCCCAGGCTAACAAATGGTGTGTGCACTGCAATCATCTCAAGCTCTTCCTCTTGCTACTGGAAGTACCTGAAACCAAAACTGAAAACTATAAGCACGAAGCTTAGTGAGTCTCCCCAAACTACCACATACCATACACATAATCACATAAACTGGGCCCCCGCCCCTTCCTCGGGCCCCGCCCGGCGTCAGACAGAGTCCGACATCAGGCCCCGCCTGACATCGAGCCTCGCTCGGTGTACAGATCTGTTTCTACCAGGCCCCGCCTGTCTCTGGGCCCCGCCTGCTATACTCATACAAACAATAACATATAATCATGCTAGTACATAAATAATCATACACAATACTATATATTCTAGTCTTAAGGCCTTGCCTATCGTGGGCCCCGCCCCTACTCTGCTAATGATGAGATATGGAACTTCGTCCACTCTCAACTAGTGGTGAGATACGTGACCCTACCCACACTCACCTCCCTACCAGGCACATACAAGTATCACAAAGACGACAAGTATAACTAAACATGCATTCCTTCACCGGGTACCACCCGACATCGAACCGTAGTTCGGAAACATACATATAAACATTCCTCGGGCCCCGCCCGACATCAGACCTAAATTCGGAAAGCATACAAACATTCCTCGGGCTTTCCCTGACATCGGACCGAAGTCCAGAAACATATAAAACAAGCACATGCAAGAATCATGAAGACATCAAGCATACAAACATTCATCGGGTAACGCCCGAAATCGGACCTTAGTCCGGAACATACTAACATACATAAACTGGCCGGCATTGGTGCCTTCGACCTGTTCCTACATGAGAAAACTCACCTCACAAGCTGATTGCAGAATTCCGCGAATAAACCTCTGGCTGCTAGTTGGCAGATCCCCGAACTGCTGATCTCTCGACTCCCTCAGCTACTGATCATCATACAAATTAGATAAGTTTGGGATTCTCATAACTTAACCATAAGTCCCCATTGGGGTAAAAGACCATTCTACCTCTCACATACTCTTGTCCTAAAATGAACTCTACCCAAACCTTGGCCCACAAGGTAAACACTTCCTCAAGACCCAAAATAAGCACAGAAACATTCTATGACTTACTCAAATATTGAATGAAAATGTATTATATGTGGTTGAACTCATAAATAAGAAACGTATACAAAATGAGCACAGAAACATACACAAAATTTATATCGAAATCTATAAAAACTTGAATTTATACCGACATATATATAGAAATAAGTAAGTAATATTTTTTTTTTAAAGTTAAGGAACGGAAGTTCAAAAAATAAAAATTGTATTATATGTGATATGAATTATACGAAGGAAACATACATAAAAATAAGAACAAAAACATAAAAAAAATGTCGAAACGTGGACAAACTCAAATTTATATCGACACGTAAATGAAAAAGCCGTGTAAGTTTTTTGTTTCTAAAAATAGCAAACGAAAGTTATAAATTACGTCTAAACGTGACCATTTTGAATTTATACCGACATATACATACTACGAGGGATAAACACAAAAATTTAGAAATTGAAAGACGTGAAAATCACATTTTACAAAGTACAAATTGAATTGGCTCAAAGTGACATTTTAAAATATAAAATAATGAAAAATATTATTTTATAAAGTATTTTAAAAAAAATAGAAAGGTGAAATATATAATTTTCGTAAAAGTAGAAGAGTTGTCATAGTCAATAGAAACTTCCATCAACGTTGCAACTTGCAAAGTGGTATATAATATAATTACGTTTTAAGCATCATACATTATTATTTCAACAAGAAGTTCACTACATAGAAAGCCTATCATTCTTTATCACCTCCGTAAACTTAAAGATAAATTGAACAATTTTGTGATGCCTAATTTTTGTAGTTCATATATTTAATTTAAAATAGTTAATTGATTTATTTTGAAAATCGAAACCATCAAAAAAACTAAAAAAATCAAATAATTTGTTTTAGGAAAGAGTTTCAAACGCGGTTCTAACATTCACAGAACTCAGCTCGGATTACAGATAATTAGGTGCCTACCTGTGCTTATCCCTACTACTAATTGTAATTTAAAACTTTCAGACTTTCAATTACTTTGGTTTTATTCACCAGACCTCTGTTTTTGGGTAAATACTAAAATTGTGTAGTTGAAAAAAAGTGTTCATCACCTAATAGATAAAACTCAAGTGTTGTTCGGCACTAGATTTAAAAATAGAATGTTAAATAGTAGTGTAAAGTGTAAGATGTACGCGCAACTAAAACTCAGTTGAGGTTGGCCCTGCCCAAAACATTGAAGAGCCCAATAGTCCAGACAATTCTGAAAAAGCCTGGAGATCGAGCCCAATCGGTTTGTGCTCCCCTTGTAATATAGACTTTTTAAGGTGAAAAATACTCGACACATTTAAAAGAAAAATTAAAACAAATGATCAAGGATCTCTTGGTTCAGCTAAACGATAAATACCCCTTCAACAAACTGCCAACAAATAAATTCATGATGCATGGGATATAAACAAACATATATCCACAGTTGAAAACATCTCAAACTAATGGATAGAATCAACAAAATTCATTTTCTAAACATCAACATGGTAAAAAAAAACATTGAAATAGGTTATTACATGCCTAAAAGCATCCCATAAAGTGCACAACATATGAGATACCAAAAATTTAGGTAAATCCCATAGGCCATATCCAACAAGAACAAAATGTATATAACAAACGGAAAGAAGCCTTGGAGCATATAAAAAGGAGCGAGAATCATCAATCAAGTACG